TCAGAATTGATTAAAATGCCAATGTTCTATTTCGGGAAAGATTTTAAGTAGAAGTTTCTCAAAAAGATCTTCAGTGGAGTTTGAAGGCCCAGGTGGACCTGAGCACTGGCACCCGGCAGTGAGACAAACACACGTACATGGCACACTCGTGTGTCTTAAACTCGTGGAAACCTGGCGCTGACAAGGTCCTGAGAAGCTCAACCGTCACACTTCTCTCTAGAGGATGAGGGCACTGCACCCGCCTGTGAGGAGGTCGGTCTTCAGTGGTGCCCAGTGCTTTCTTCCCTCTTCGGGGGCCACAGAATGCCGACAGCCCTAAGACCACAAGGAAGAAGTCCAAGGACAAGTGCGAGGTGAAATGGCTCTCAGACATTGGGCAACAAAGGGACGTAGTCCTGAGCCATGGGAATCCAGGGGCAGAGCCGCCAGCTGTGCCAGCTGCCGTCCACGGCAGCATGGGGAGGAGGAGTGGGGTGGGTTCTGGAGGCCACCCCGTGTCCCTGAGCCGAGGAGCAGACTGGGGCCTCGGGCAGGACTCAGACAAACGCACAGCATCCAGGGGAGAGGAGTTTGCACAGGTCCTGAGAGCTGCACACTCTAATCCACTGGAATGCGGTAGTGAACCATCCAAAACCAGAGAAAAAACACCCAGAAGGATCCATCCTACAAAATTACACAGCACCAACAAGGTGAAATTCACAATGGTTGGCTTCTAATCTAAAATCCACATACACGGAAGAAAAAGATGGCCTCTAAGGAAGAGAAAAATCAACCAATTGCAACTGACCCAGGAACACATTGACTCTAATAAAAATACCATAATATAAATGGCAGTTTTCATTTTGCAAGGTGAAAATTATTCTGTGGACGGAGGCTGGTGGAGGTTGAATAGAACTGTGAAGATAGTTAAAGCCAGTGTGCTGCACACTTTACATCTGTCGGAACGATGAAGTATAATGTTACGTACGACCTTTCCACATTTCAACTTTTGTTTTTAATGGACACAGAGTAACTGTACCTATTTATGGGAGGTTCTGATTTTCCATACAGGTACACAATATGTAGAGATCCGGCTGACTGGCCCTGCCATCTCCTCAGACCTCTGTGCTTCTCTTTGTGGAGCATATGTGAAAGTTTCTGTTCCACGCTCCGTGGCTCTTGGACTCCCTGCCTGTGAGCCCCCGTGGGCTGGAGCTTGGACCTGCTGCTGATCCCTCCTTCTGGGACAGGGCCATACTGAGCAGCGACATAGGCACCCTATGACCTTGTGCTCACTGAACACCCCTCGCCTGTCATCGGAGCGTTTGCAGTCCACATGGCCCCCAGGGTGCGACCCTTTGTCATCCCTGCCTGACAGCATCGGGCACCAGGCTGCAGCGGACCCGTCTCTCATGGGAACATGGAGCTGATTCGATCGTTCAGACATGGCTCCTTCTGGTGCCAAGGGCCGGACATTACCGTGGCATTGTGCCTGGCCTGAGCAGGGCTCGGTCAAGCCGGTTCTTTCATGTTTCTTCCTCTGGCACAGAGAAGCCACTTCTAGCCTAGTTTAGACGGACTCTGAAGAGGACCTGAGCTGGGGCGAACCGCCTCAACCCTGAGTAGAAGGACTGAGCCTGTCTGCTCTTTAGCGGGGTGGCCCCAGCACAGCACTGCCCAGCCCGGCCCCTGCCCCACCCCTCCCTCTGCATGCCAGGGTCACGAGTTCTGCAGGTGTGATGAACACCTGACACCAACAGTGCCTGCTGCACAGTGTGGCCTGTGAGTCGTGTCCTGGGGACCAGCACCAAAGGACATGACTGTGCCGACCATACTCATGGTCAGCTGGGTAGGAGGGAGCCAAGGAAGGTGTCGGAAATTGTGCCCGCTGCTTATGGGATTTGTACATATTCAAAACAAAATGAAACAAGCATAACAGAAAAACCTGAAGTTCCTCCCTAAAGAGGCAAACTATAAACATCACAGTTCTCCAAGAAGCAATGAAAAAAATGTGGAGGTTTCAAGGAAGACATGCAAATATTGAGTCTGTTTGGGGCATGGTAGAATGAGAGCTGCTATCATAAAAATGGCCAAAGATGGGACATCAGACAGGCACACGAAGGTATAGCCGGGTGACTGGAGGTTGGGGGACAAATGAACACCCTTGCATCACCCTGGCAAACACTGCAGTCCGGCAGCTTCAACAACAGAGATCTACTCTCTCTGTTCTGGAGGGCGGAATCCCAGAGGAAGGCTCGGGCAGATTGTGCCCGGTGAGAGGCATCACGGTGGGGTTAGCAACCACACGGGGGTCTCCGGAGGACGCATTCCTCCCACAGCAGCATCCTTCCATTCGCTGGTGTCTCTCAAAACTGGTTGTGTTTGCCCAAGTCTGTTCCCCCATGAGAGGGGACAGTGGGGTGCCGCTCTCACCGTCCTCAGACTTCACCGAGCCTGGGAGGGAGCCAGGCACGTGGAGGACAAGGCAGCCACCGAGGTGGGCAAAGTGGGAATCTGGGCACCAGAGCCACCAGCCAGGGTCAGGCAAGGGGCGGAGGTGAGGGAGGGCTGGGAAGAGCTTGACTAGAGGCAGAAGCTGGACCTGCACCCCACTTCTCTGGACCCCGCCCCTGGAAGAGCCCACCAGCTATGCATGTGCTGAGGCAGCCCAGTCCCTCAGCGCCGTCACAAACACAGCCAAGGACTGGGAAGAAAGACTCAAAGCAGAAGCTAACAAGGGGTCAGTGGTGAACGAGTGGACACAAACCCTAGAGCGCTGGAAACGAAGGAGGAGCTGGAGCGTGACTGGGAAAGACCATGGATCCTGCCTGGGCAGCAGCAGCTGTCTTAGCCACTTCCCCACCACGGGTGGGAAATATCTGCCATCCACAACACAGAGCAGGGAGGGTTTACTGGCTCACAGTTTCAGAGGGCTCGGTCTAGGCATGGTCTCCGGCTTCGTGGGAGGAACAGCACGAGGAGAGCCACTCACATCATGGGGGCCAGAAAGCCGAGAGAGAAGGCGGCGCTGCAGGCAGGTGCACGCTCCCCGGCCAGCCACAGTGACCCAGCTCTCCCAGCAGGCTCCGCTCGGCTATGGATGAATCCCCTGGTGAGCACAGCACCACATGATCAGTCACCTTCCAAAGGCCCATGCTCTGAACGCAGAGGCTTTGGGGGACAAAGACTCAGGCAGCTGTGTCCACTTAGAACCGAGTGCGTGTGGAAACCAGTATCAAGTGCAACAAACCCCAGGCTCAGACCAGCCCTCGCCAGCACGCCCGGTTCTCTCCCCCACCTCCCTGGGCAGTGGGCACCTGCTCCGACTCCCTGCCTCTGTTCAGCACCATCCGTTTGCTTCGTTTGCTTCGGACGAGCGCCTCCCCTCCTGGGCTGTCACCGCAGCAGCTCCCAGGAGGGTCCCTGCAGTGCCCCAGCCTGAGCCCACCCAGCTCAGGTGTGACCCTGTCTGTGTCCCCTCCCCGCCTGAGGCTTGTTTCTCACTGGACTCCAAGTCGCTGCGCTCTTTCCTGGCACTTAAAGATAATCACATAAATGTGCTCGAATCCGAAAAAAGGAAGAGCTAATGAGAATGTAATATGTTCCTAGTTTGGGGGAGCGGTTTCTGTTGTTTCTGCCCACAGGATAGCTGGCGTCCTTTGACTGTTTGGGGAATGCTCCATTCCTCTTTCCCACTGTGCTGCTGGTCATGTGACAAACACTGCACTTTGAACGCGACTTTCAAACACTGACAGGGTTGAAGGAGAATGGACCAAGGTCAGTTCGCTTCCAACTATCTCTCTCTCTCTCTCATTCTCTCTCTCTCTCTCTCTCTCTCTCTCTCTCTCTCCCTCTCTCTCTCTCTCCCTCTCTCCCGC